CGTGTTTACTACAACATTCACATTTTATTTACATGTTTGTTTTATTTTTTTAAAGCCAACTTAGTCTTTTTATATCATAAATAATTTATTATATTTTTATTATTCAGATTTTGTGGTTCATGAAATAAACAAAATAAGATAATGCATATGTTAATTGAAAGACATTTTAACATTAAACATTGATTAATAATAATAAAAAATAATAAAAAATAAAATATAAATAAAAAAAACAAACATCACTTTTATTATAATGTGTGTTTACATTCAAAATAATTAAAAATGCTATATTAACAGTTTTGTTTTTTTTTGAAATAAGAGTTTTTTATTCATTCACTGATAATTATATTTATAAATAAATGGTTATTAGTTTCTAAAAATTAACCCACCTCTTTGGAGTTTAATTATATGTTATTTTTTAATTAAAACAATAAAGCTGAAAGTGGTTTAATTTAATTTGATTTTCTGTTTTAATTTTTACTGAAAGTTAATTTATCAAATACAAACCAATTACATCCAATTTAAAAATACTAATGAAAAGTTGAGCTTTTTTGCAACTTTATTGTTTTTTAACTTATATATATTTTTGTTAAGTGGACATTTATAAATAATTAATTATTTATTAACAACGGTAAAAAATAATAACATATAAATATTAAAAATTAAAAACTCTATGATTATTTTTTATTTAAATTGATTAAAAATATTATCTGTATTTAAATAAATTTTATAAAATCGTATTTTTATTAATTTAAGCGTTTTAAAACAACTGTCGAATAAACAAAATGTTTATAAAACAAACAAAACAAAAAATTGATAAGTTTATTAAATATACCAAACAATAATTGTTTTTTGGTAAATGCTAATACATCATCACAAACATATTTTTTATGATATTCAAACATAAAATATTTATTATTATTATATTAATTAACAAAACGTCTAAATCTAAAATAATTGTGATATTGAATTTATTGTAACAATTTCATTTATATAAAACCATCTCTCAAACAATATTAGTTAATTAATTTAATTAAAACGCTCTTTTAATTGAGTTTAACTTATCAAAAATCATTTAATATAATTAAGTATAACCATATTAATATGTTTAATTAAAAGTTGAATCATCTGATAAAGAGTTTGAATGTATATTTTTTATAATTTAAACTTTAACTTATATATATTTGAATTAAAAATATTACAACTTATTATTATTTAAACAATGATATAATCATCTAATATACATGACCGACTATTTACATTAATAATTATTGTTTTTATGTTGATTTAAATTTAATTTGCACAATATTTTTGGTTTGAAATAATTTATTCACCAAAATTTGATTTTATTTTCTTTTCAAACATGATATTTATATTTGATGTTTAATTCGTATTAAAACAATAAATAAAATGGGTCTGTTAAATAAAGTAACGATTCATATCATTACATAATAAAATATTAAATATAATTTTAATTTAATATAAAGTATATACAAATTAAAATGCAAACCTGGAAATAAAAACCTTAATTATTATATTATTTTTTATTGACAAAAATATAATGTTCTTTGTTATTGAATTTTGTTTTTCAAATTTATTTTGGTTTGAAATCTTTGTTTTGTATTTAAAGTATAACAAAAACAAAATGACCAATTTGATTATTTTACGCTCAAATATCATGTGTAACTACAGATATTGGTGTTGTTGTTGTAAAAATGATTGAGCGAACATTTTGTTTTGTAAAATAATAGACACATCACCAGAATACGCCATAAACAACTTGGATTTTATCAAAAAAATAAAATACAACGAAATAAATCATAAACAAAAAGAACACCACACATGGCAGACTTCTTCCACAACAAAAGTTGAATTTCTTTATTTATACCATTTGACATGTATAAAGGAAACTGTGACTTTTTGTGTTTTTTTTTGAATATGCATTTTAGATTTCGCACCCGCTCTTTTTATTATGAAAAATTGGTATTTAAAAATGCTATTAAACCGAAATGTTATTTTTTACACAATTTTTTGGCGTTTTTAATACTTATAATCATCAGTAAATAAAATCGAGACCGAAGTCAAATACAAAGTTGTTCATGTTTTATTTTTCGATTTTTAAATGTTATACTGTTGTTTTTTGTTTTAAAATGTTATTCATTCTTAATAATTCTTTTTAATCTTAATAGTTTTGAATGGCTTTACTATATATCCAGGGTTGAATAAGAAATTTATTAAAATTTATTAAAATTTTTAATGATTTTTAAATATCAAAAGAATCAATTTATTTCATACTGTTTGTTTCATTCTAATCTGTTTTATTAATTCGTTAGTATCCATTAACCAAATAAAAAGCAACAACCAAAATGATACCAAACCTCTCAAGTATTATAATTAT